AGAGAGTACAACACGTGACCTCAGCAGGGGGCAACAGACTACAGGGTTAAAATCTGTGAGCATCCACGTTATCCATAGCAAATCCGACAGCCTATTGCTAATTTAGTGAATATAAGGGAATAAGCAAGAGTTTCCCAGTGAAATGTAATTTCTTCTGAGTGAAATAAGTAAATTACGGCCCTCTCTAAGGGACTTAGTACTTTTTCCCACCATCCGTGCCTGTCACCCCGTGCCTCGTGTCTCGCGTGCAATAGGTAGGTACACATTCCTTGCCTCTCAGCCTGAGACACGCTCTGCTCAACTCGGTGTGTTGATTAGTCAGCTACACCTCATCACCTGGTAACATCACACGTGATCCCGCATGACGGTCCCGCATCCCACGTGCGGAGATGCTGGAGGAGCCTCTTTAAAGTTCATCTGTATGAATGAGTTTGAGTGACAGAAGGCCGGTTTTTGTATGTGAGTACAAATAATATCTTCTCTGTTAAATAGTGCATATATCATTGTGTTGATTTGAGATCAACCCACCGACCTGACGTTGTCTCGTTATCACCTGATACGGGAGGAGAAACGTAGTCGAGGAAGCACGTAAAGGTGACGATTACAGTTGGTCTGAGTGATTACTGTAATTCGTCTCTGCTTGTGTATGTTACACATAATGACACATTTAGTTATTTTACTGTCTTTGTTGTGGTATGGTTCAATTATGTGATATCAATTATGTGATATCTTCAATCTCGTTTCAGAGAACCAAAGGTCAAGGGCAAGTAATTGTTGTGGGGTTTGTCTGAGTGATACCCTGGGTTTTATTAACCTGTGATTACATTTATATTGTGAATTCCTTGTTAATTTGATTTCTGTTGTGTAATTTTGTGCTTTTTGTTTAATAAGCTCTATGAAGTGAAGTATCAATTGTTACCGTTTTCCTGATTTGTCTAAGTGATAATGTGATACGCAATTATATAGTCATTTATTATATTAATTGAAAAGTCAATGAAGGTAATTCATTGTTTTGATAGCTGGCCTGGAGACAGTACATGTAACGTAATTAGTAAAGTGTCAACTAATCCCTGGTTGATTAACTGTCTGAGTAACAGATTACACTTACCGTAATTCCTCTTGATTAACTATGTGTGACAGAATTAATTTTATTACTGACTGATTGTTTAGTAATCATTGTCTTTGCAAATTGTCTTTGCAGCAGAGTAATTACTGTGGAGAATTATTGTTTTGATTGATTCACTGTTTGAGTGACAGAGTGTAATTAACATAAATTATCTTTGATTGATGACTGTCTAGGTGACAGTAATAAATGTTATTAATTAACATGATTAATTAGCATTATTAATTATTTGTTTGTATTAATTGTAATCAATTGTTTTGTTTGTGTGATAGAACTTTAACGTAATTGGTTTAATTGATTGCCGTCCATAAAGGTGTTTGTTAACGTAATTAATTTTATATTCCGAAGAGTATATGTATACTATATTTCATTGACAAGTTTTGCTTTGGTTGTAATTGTTTGATTGTTCAAATTGTTTTGCTGCAATTACTTTGGTTTGTATTTTAAGTCCAACTAAGCACCCGATGTTCAGTTAGTTCATTTATTCCAGCCAAGAGCAGCAAGGACAGGAGTCCTCCTATACTAGTATGGAAACGTGGGACATAAAGCACGCGCGTGATCCTGTGCAACATTGCACAGATGGTGCAACATGCATGCATACATACATACATACATACATACATACATACATACATTGGATACTAAAGGAAGGAGCAGAAGCACTGTGCCTGCCACTCTCCATAGTGTAAAACAAATCACTGGTAACAGAGGAACTGCCAAAAATTTGGAAGACTGCTAATGTAGTCCAAATATACAAGAAGGGGAGATAGACAGGAGGCACTGAACTACAGACCAGTGTCCATAACTTGCATACCATGCAAGCTGATGGAGAAGATTGTGCGAAAAAGATAGTGGAACATCAGGAGCGAAAGAACTTTGTAACAGCATCAACATGGGTTCAGGGATGTCAAGTCCTGCCTCACAGGATTAATTGAATTCTACGACCAGGCAACAAAAATCAGGCAAGAAAGAGAGGGGTGGGCAGACTCCATATTATTGGATTGCCAGAAAGCCTTTGACACAGTACCACACATGAGGCTAGTGAAAAAGCTGGATATGCAGGCAGGAGTGCAAGGGAAGGTACTCCATTGGATAAAGGAGTACCAAAGCAACAGACGACAGCGAATCACTGTGAGGGGTGAGGTCTCAGATTGGCGAGACGTCACTAGTGGAGTCCCGTAGGTTTTAGTCCTTGAACCTATACTGTTTCTGATATATGTTAATGATCTCCCAGAGGGTATAAAATAGTTCCTCTGATTGTTTGCTGATGATGCAAAAATTATGAGGAGGATTAAAACAGAGGATGGTAGTAGGAGGCTACAAGATGACCTAAATAGACTGAATGAATGGTCCAACAAATGGCTACTAAAGTTCAACCCGAGTAAATGCAAGGTAATGAAACTAGGCGGTGGAAACAGGAGGCCAGACATAGGATACCGAATAGTAGATGAAGTACTTCATGAAATGGACAGGGAGAAAGATCTAGGAGTTGATATCACACCAACCCTGTCTCCTGAAGCCCACATAAAAAGAATTACATCTGCGGCATATGCGACGCTAGCTAACATCAGAACAGCCTTCAGAAACCTGTGTACGGAATCATTCAGAACCTTGTATACCACATATTTAAGACCAATCCTGGAGTATAAAGCCCCAGCATGGAGCCCGTACCTTGTTAAGCTCAAGACGAAGCTGGAAAAAGTTCAGAGGTATGCCACCAGGCTAGTCCCAGAACTAAGAGGCATGAGGTACGAGGAAAGGATGCGTGAGATGCACCTCACGACACTGGAAGACAGAGGAGTAAGGGGGAGACATGATCACTACCTACACAATTCTCAGAGGAATTGACAGGGTAGATAAGGATAAACTTTTTAACAAGGCTGGAATGAGAACAAGGGGACACAGGTGGAAATCGAGTACCCAAATGAGCCACAGGGACGTTAGAAAGACCTTTTTCTGTGTCATAGTAGTTAACAGATGGGATGCATTAGGCAGTGATGTGGTGGAGACCGACTCCATACACGGTTTCAAATGTAGATATGATGAGCCCAGTAGGCTCAGGAATTTGTACACCAGTTGATTGACGGTTGAGAGGCGCGACCATAGAGCCAGGGCTCAACCCCCGCAAGCACAAATAGGTGAGTACATATATACATACATTCATACATACATACATACATGCATACATACATACATACATACATACATACATACATACATACATACATACATACATACATACATACATACATACATACATACATACATACTCAACTCATGTTTGCAGTAACTCTAGTCTCCTTGGGAGGAGGAAGTATAAATGTCTCACACCACAATGTGAGATACTGTCATCCTCCAGGTATAATTAAGTCGTGGTGGAGAACCAACAAGTGATGGCAATTTGTCTGTGTTTCTCTGTCACTCACCAAACACATTAGCACAATAAGGCTACATCTTGTACCAATTTTCGGGGCATTGCAAGGCGTGAAACTCCTCCAGCAGCAGCAACAGCAGGGTGGTGGCTTTCTTTACCGTCTTGACGTGACCATATCGATTTAGAGTCTATTGTTCCTTCCCTCACTCTCTCACACACCATACAACCTCTTAGCTCAAAGGTCTTGTTACAAGTGACGTTGTCACCACCACCTCGTGAGACCACATCCTCTCCCTTTACCCCCCTCCTCCCCCTCCCACCCCCTCCTCTCCCCCCTCTCCCCCTCTCCCCCTCTCCGTCGGCTTTAACGTTAAAGACGACTAAGAACTCTCATTCCCACAGTTACGTGTGTGACGACTAAGAACTCTCCCTCCCACAGCTCAGTGTGTGACGACTAAGAACTCTCCGTCTCATAGCTCAGTGTGTGACGACTAAGAACTCTCCGTCTCACAGCTCAGTGTGTGACGACTAAGCACTCTCCGTTTCACAGCTCAGTGTGTGACGACTAGGAACTCTCCCTCTGACAGCTCAGTGTGTGACAACTAAGAATTCTCCCTCCCACAGCTCAGTGTGTGGCGACTAAGAACTCTCCGTCTCATAGCTCAGTGTGTGACGACTAAGAATTCTCCCTCCCATAGCTCAGTGTGTGACGACTAAGAATTCTCCCTCCCACAGCTCAGTGTGTGACGACTAAGAACTCTCCGTCTCATAGCTCAGTGTGTGACGACTAAGAACTCTCCCTCTGACAGCTCAGTGTGTGACGACTAAGAATTCTCCCTCCCACAGCTCAGTGTGTGACGACTAAGAATTCTCCCTCCCACAGCCCAGTGTGTGACGACTAAGAATTCTCCCTCCCATAGCTCAGTGTGTGACGACTAAGAATTCTCCCTCCCACAGCTCAGTGTGTGACGACTATGAACTTTCCCTCTCTCAGCTCAATGTTTGACGACTAAGAACTCTCCCTCCCACAGGTCAGTATGTAACAATTTAGGACTCTCCCTTCCACAGCTCAGTGTGTAACAATTAAAGATTTTCCCTCCTACAGCTATGTGTGACACGATAAAGGATAATTTCTCCCCCAACTCAGTCAGTCAGGTGCTCTTTCTCCCACAGTCCATTAACAGTATTACCGGTCATGTTTTGCTTATGTTATTCACTAATCACTTTACAAGTAGGCTATTAAAATCTAATGGGGTAATTAAGGGTGTTCAACTGTGAATGGTCGGTGCCCAGTCGTGCTATTTTGGCCAGAACACGATGCGGGGCTGTTTTCGCTTGTGAAACAAGAGTGTGAGGGAGCTGTCCAATACACGGCTGGGTGCTCTAAAATTGTGGCAGGTTCGTCACGACCAGTTGATTTCAGATGAAGAGTTACGCCAACTTTAGGTGATTGTGGAGAGTCGTGATTAGTCAAGAGCTCATAAGTGTTTTATCCCGGGCCAGGAGTGACCTGAAGGTATTCATGGGGTGTCTGAGCGGTGACTATGTGGCGGCGCTGGCCCCCAGTCTGGAGCAACTCTACCTAGCAGTTGTGAGTGACGACCAAGCCCGCTTCCTACTGCCTCAGCTCCACACTGCTCTCACCTCCAGACTACCTCAGCTGATGGTCCTGGGTGAGTATTCTCTTGTGGCCGCCGACCTGTGAGATTTATATTTATTTAAATTATATGAATTTATATAGAATTTATATTTACGTTAATTTATATATTTCGATAGCAATTGGTATGATGTTAAGTGGAGTGTATTTCTGCAATAGTCTCACAAATCGATCCTTACACATTAGGGGGGGGGTTTATATTAAATTTATATATATGCAGCCAATCAAACTACAGTATTAACTACATATATTAGTATACATTGAGGAGGTTCCTTATCTTATTGTACAGCAGGCTTAGTCCACCAGGTATAACTAGGATGTAGATACCAAATTACCCTCGTTTGAGGCTAGCTTCCATCACCCAGTAACTGATGTATCAAGTCTTTCTTCCTCTTCTTCTTCCTGTCAAAGGGCGCTAGCTGTAAAGCCAGAATCCTAATATATGACAGCTATATCAGAGAAAACACTGTATAATAGATAATAAGGACCAAGGCTTAGTTACCTTTATTTAAGAGGCTGGTTCGCATTCTAACCGGTTCGCCCATATCTACCTAACATTTAACTGGCCAGAAATGATTAGATAAACGGGTGTCGGTAGGACACTTTCCTTGATTATGTTGACAGCGTGTTGATGATGGAAGACCATTACTCTCATCTCCGTCACACTTTGTCCAAGTGAAATTATAGGAGCTGAATTTGCTCCACTGCGCCTCTGGTCTTAACAACAATGGCTGACTTCTTCCTCCCTCCTGACGCTCCAGGCTTACTGTCCAGATCTCAGTAACTGATAGAAGGATCCCATTTACTTTATTTTGTTACTGATAATTAAGTTAATTCATATGAGATGTTTTTATGATGGTAAAAGTCCAAAGATTAATGTATTTAAGAATAATTCCCAACAAATAGCTGGTGAATTTATAATAGTATGTGGCAATGATATCCCATTTTCTATTGACGGAAAATTCCACTACAAGCTACATTTTCTATGGGTTAACTTGTGTATACAACACAGTAGCAATATTATCTGCAAATGAATGTAATATTATTAAATGGTATCGGATTTTCCGACATCTCTGTCTCCTAGCTCTTACTCTCCTGTGTGATGATGGCGTTACTGGTGATGCTACTGTCACTGTACTGTGTGATGATTGTGTTACTGGTGATGCTACTGCCAGTGTACTGTGTGATGATTGTGTTACTGGTGATGCTACTGTCACTGTACTGTATGATGATTGTGTTACTGTTGATGCTACTGTCACTGTACTGTGATGATTGTGTTACTGGTGATGCTACTGCCAGTGTACTGTGTGATGATTGTGTTACTGGTGATGCTACTGCCAGTGTACTGTGTGATGATTGTGTTACTGGTGATTCTACTGTCACTGTACTGTGTGATGATTGTGTTACTGGTGATGCTACTGTCACTGTACTGTGTGATGATTGTGTTACTGGTGATGCTTCTGCCTGTGTACTGTGTGATGATGGTGTTACTGGTGATGCTACTGCCACTGTACTGTGTGATGATTGTGTTACTGGTGATGCTACTGTCACTGTACTGAGTGATGATTGTGTTACTGGTGATGCTACTGCCACTGTACTGTGTGATGATTGTGTTACTGGTGATGCTACTGTCACTGTACTGTGTGATGATTGTGTTACTGGTGATGCTACTGTCACTGTACTGTGTGATGATTGTGGTACTGGTGATGCTACTGTCACTGTACTGTGTGATGATTGTGTTACTGGTGATGCTACTGCCACTGTACTGTGTGATGATTGTGTTACTGGTGATGCTACTGTCACCATACTGTGTGATGATTGTGTTACTGGTTATGTTACTGCCACTGTACTGTGTGACAAGTAGGTAGCGTAGCAAATACCTGGCAGCTGTCATTTGCCTTACGCACATTAAATAAAATAAAAGATAAAACAAATTAAATAAAACTGCTAAAGACCTTTGTGGTGTGATAGTTGCAGGAGTAAACAACAAGCATAAATAAATAAATATTTTATAACAAGCATAAATAAATAAATATTTTATAACAATCATTACAAAATAATTATTCCTGAGTAACTTGGCTCACACACACAAAAACAAACTTAATATTTATGTTAATATAGAAAAAGCAAGAGGGGTGAATATTCACTACGATGTGTGACGGTGGCTGCACGTCCACCGTCACACATCGTAGCAAGACCATATCGAGTGAAGGGGGAGACGTGTAGAACCCGAGAGAGCCTCATGAGTAATCTGCCTGTTATGTGATTGATGAAGATTAAGCCACGCAAGAGGTGGCACGGGCCTAAATAGTCCGTAAGCCTGCTATGTCGTAGATGTTTGTTGCTGTTTTAGATTTAGCTATTCAGAACGAAATGACTATGTAGCACGGGCTATGGTGAGCCTGTAGTGGACTTACCTGGCACAGGAGTAGGGCTGCAAACCCTGCTGTCTCGTTGTTGTTGTTGTTGTTGTTTTTGATTCAGCTACTCAGAACAAGAAGTTCCAGTAGCACGGGCTATAGTGAGCCTGTAAGTAAAGGCTATTTGGAGCCATTATCTGTATCAATAGCCGATACTAGAGATCTGGCGATGGATGGGGGTCTTCATGGTGGTTTTCAGCCTGGAGGGCTGGCTGTACCAGTTATAGAGCTGGTGGGGTTAGTGTAGACCTCTAGGTTTTCCGTTTTTTCTTTGGCTGAGCCGTACTGTCGTTGTAGTTTGGTGAGGTGGCCTCCATGAGAAAGTCTTGAACCGAGTAGGTGTCGTATTTGTGGTGCGGTGGTGGAGCTCCTACTAAGATTTCCTCGTCATAGGAGACCGTAACCTCCGTAGTTGATGTTTTCGTCTTTCGCCTCGCAGCCTTAGATAGACTCAGGTGTCGTGGATTGGTGGTAAAAGCTATTTCAGGAGCGTTGGTGGTGCTGTTAGCATTTGTAGACAGCACGTCTGCTACCGCGGCTGTTGAGATGGTGATGGTAGGAGTGTCGGGAGCTGGTGAGGGAATTACCTCTGTTTGTGCCGCCTGGGTCATGGGTGGTTCTGGAGTCTGTGTTAAAATCGACCTCGTGGTCGTCCTGGTTGTAGTCTCCGGAGTGGTAGTGGAGGCAGTGAAACTTGCTCCAGGGGCTATGATGGGTTCCAGGCCATTGGCGAGGTATAATATGTTTAGTTCACTGACAAAACGGTGGTTGTCCGGTCCGGCAAGCCTTTCCGCTAGTCCAATACGATTTGGAATAATGCCTTCACGTGATGCAGGGGGCTGCGAAGGAGCCTGTAGGACCTTGGGTCCACATTGTGAATGCTGGGTCGACTGGTTGGATGAGCCACTCTTTGATAAGGCTGGAAAGTCTTCTAGTCGGTTGGAGGGAGCTGAGGTGGTGGGTTGAGCACCTGGGGCTCTGGTCGCGGAGGTAGAAGGGTTGTTTCTCTTGGCTTCAACCTGGGCCTTCATGTTTTCCTGTTTGCGGGGGCAGCGGTAGGAAATTGCCGGGTGATTGCCATCACAGAGTAAGCAGCGATGGACTGTTGCTTTGCATATGGAGTAGTGATGGTCTAATGCGCACAGGCTGCACTTCTGGACAGGGTGCTGATACTTGTTAGTGGGGGTGAGAGAGCTCGTAGCACTTGAAGCACTGCTGGATCTCATGGTATCGTTCCTTTTTTACTTAGTGGAGTTGTATTTGCAAACCGAAGCAATAGAATCCTTGTGCGGCAGTCTGGGTGGCCACAGGTATAGTGATGAAAGTAATCTTCATTGAAGATTTGTTGGTGCTGCAAAACTCTAGGTTAAATACACCCAGGCTCGGATTTTCGCCCACGATATTGTCCATGATCTCTTGTTGCGGTCGGTCAGCGATCTATTGGCTGGTCCTGCTGGTAAAAACAGTTCTTCCGGCCAGGAACTGACATGGGAAGTGAGGTTGTAGGTGGTGCTCCTAGGTAAGTATCACATCGTTGGTCATGAGTTTTTCTAACTCTTCTTCACATGAAAAGAAGAGCACGATATCATTACCGTCCTGACTAATGTCAGTGGGTGTTATGCCGGTAACGTTCTTCAGGACCTTTAGAATATCACTTTTCCAGAAAGCATGACCGTCATGGGAAGTAGCTCTAACCTTCAGACGTTTGGGTCGCATTGTGTGCACACCCTCAGCGGGTTGCAGTGTGAATGTAACTCTGAAGAAATTGGTGTGGATGCCTGCTGTCTCTGTTGCTGTTATAGATTCAGCTATTCGGAACAAGTTCCAAGTAACACGGGCTATGGTGAGCCCGTAGTGGACTTAACTGGCACAGGAGCGGGGCTGTTGCCTTCCTTCTGCCTTAAGCTCCTGCTGTCTCTGTTGTTGTTGTTTAAGATTCAGCTACGGGGAACGAAAAAGTTCCAAGTAGCACGGGCTATGGTGAGCCCGTAGTTGACTTACCTGGTGTACAACTACAATCCTGCAGTCTCGTTGTTGTTGTTGTTATAGATTCAGCTACTCGGAACAAGTTCCAAGTAGCACGGGTTATGGTGAGCCCGTAACTTACCTGACACAGGAGCAGGGCAAGTAATACGGGCTATGGTGAGCCCGTAGTGGACTTACCTGGCACAGGAGTGGTGCTGAATCTCTGTCTCTTCCGGGACAAGGGCAAGAGAATCTCCCTGCTGTCTCGTTGTTGTTGTTGTTTCAGATTTAGCTACTCAGAACGAAGTGTCCATGTAGCACGGGCTATAGTGAGCCCGTAAAAATGCCCTGCTGTCTCGTTGTTTGTTGTTGTTATAGATTCAGCTACTCGGAATAAGTTCCAAGAAGCACGGGCTATGGTGAGCTCGTAACTTACCTGGCACAGGAGTGGGGCAAGTAGCACAGGCTATTGTGAGCCCGTAGTGGACTTACCTGGCACGGGAGCGGAGCCTGCTCCGCTCCCGTGCTAGGTAAGTAGCATATATACTTACCAGGTAAGTAGCAAAATAGTAGTGGCATATGACTCATAGAAGGAGCGTTTTGCTTTTTCGACGGTCCTTCTATGAGTCGT